GGTGGCTCACGCTTGTAATCCCAGCACTTTGGGAGGCCAAGGCGGGTGGATCACGAGGTCAGGAAATCGAGACTATCCTGGCTAACATGGTGAAACCCCGTCTCTACTAAATATACAAAAAATTAGCCGGGTGTGGTGGCGAGCGCCTGTAGTCCCAGCTGCTGCTCGGGAGGATGAGGCAGGAGAATGGCGTGAACCCAGGAGGCGGAGCTTGCAGAGCTGAGGTCGCGCCACTGCACTCCAGCCTGGGCGACAGAGCGAGACTCCATCTCAAAAAAAAGAAGAGTCCATGTTGCAGGAAACCCTTGGTCCTGATCAACAAGATGGTTGATTACCCTAGGTAAGACTGGGATTTGGTGGTTTGTAGTAGTTGAGGGAGGAAACCACTTAGAGATGAGAGTAGATCTGATAGAAAGTGCTTTGAACTGTTAAATGTCTGGGTTTGAATCCTGGCTGTATCACTGACCATCTTTGACATCTTAGGCAGATCATTTCCCCTCTCTGATTCTGCGGAGAGTTTTGTGTCTTCTGGTACAGCCAGGCCCTTGGCTTGTATCCTCCACTTAGCAGCTCTTTCATATGTTTACCCAACAAAAGTTGAGAGAGTGAAGCTGGTGTGCCAGCATAGGAATTAGGTGCTAGAGATCACACTGAAGGCACATGGTTCCTGCCTTGCCATCTGTGTTACTGCAGCCATGGTGGAATCTTTTCAGTAGCAAACCTCTAGAACTTTTCTGCCTGGATAGTCCACATTCATTGCTCTTAAAATTTGAGAGCAGACTCTGTTTCTAGGAGATAGTAGACTGGAGTTCTCTACAGGATAACCTTTTAGACTAAGAGAACCAGATCTTTCTTGACCCTTCAGATTTTGAAAGCTGCTAATCCTACTCAGTTTTTAAGTCTCATTCTCATTTTCCCCTTTAGGAGTTCCAGCTCTGTCCCTCACAAGCAGCGTAAGTGTGAGCAAGTGAATTAACATCTTTGGGCCTTAGTTTATTTGTGAAATAGGGATGACTATGATTCCCACCTCATGAGTTAGGAGGATTAAATGAGATCATTCCTCTTAGCACAGTATCTGCCATGTAGTATACAATAAATGGAATAAAATGATTGCATTTTCCACGTGTCTTGGAGAGCACTGGAGGCCAGCTCCTCTCCACCCATTGCCCAGACTTGAGCATCTCAGAGAAAGAAGCCACCTTTCATTGTATTCATCTCTGTGTCTACAGCCAGCCCCTGCCTGGTGAATAGTGGATGCTTAATAGTATTGATTTATGACCTGAAGATGGTGATGGTGATGATGATGTAACCTATCTCCTAGTATTAAGGAAGGTAAAATAAGAAAATGTATGTGAAACTACGCTTTTGTAAATGGAAAAACATAACACAGTGTACGTCCCTCCACTAAGGTATTTATCACGGTGTACTGTTCTTTATTTGTTTGCCTGTCTTTTCTACTCATAGTCCATGCACTTCTCCAAAGTGGAGACTACATCTTATCTCTAGTCCTGCTCCAGCCCCTGTCTGATAGCCTACACAAAGTAGGCACTCAGGTAGTTTAATTAAATGCAAATGGCATACAAAGGCAAAGAACTGTGAAGCTCTTATTAGGATAGGGAAAGAGGGCTGGTAAATATGACTGGTCCTTCCTTCCTTCCTGGTGCTACTTTTACACAAAACTGTTTCTGAAATAAACCTTCCTAGGGGAGTGATGAAATTGGCTGAGAGAAAAGGTGAGGGTCAGGAATAACAGTTTCATTATCTGAGCAACTGGACATAGTGGCTGGCACTTGGGCACATTGTCACAAATCTTTGTGTTGGGATTAATGCCACTAACCTGTAGCGATGGGGTTCCATCTCTGATCATTATCAGCTAAAAATCGTCAAAATGTTTGTCATGCTCCAGGTGCCCTGGCTGCAGAGTTGTGCCAACTTGATGCAGATTGGGGCACCTCTCCCACTACTGGGCTGTTTGGGCCAGTATTTTAAGGTTCTGGGAAGTATGGAAGTACTGACTGGGCAACATGGGAAGGTAAGAAGTGCCTCAGTGAGGTCCTTGCTTCTGTAACTTCTCAGAGGGTCTTTTCTCAGAAGCTTCTCTTTTGCATCCTCAGTGGCTCAAGTGAATATGCCAGTGTGCAGGCTCATTGTTACAACAGCTCCTCATGTTGTGGAGAAAGGGCCCCTGAAAAGTCATGTTTTGAGACTGGCCCTTGAAACTGCCTCTTCTTGGTCTTGGGAAGAAGGCTTGGCTGATAAGCTAGCATTATCAGAGATATGTTTATAATAGGCCAAATTTGATGTGTCCTGGGCCTTGGGTCTAGGCCCCCTGAGAATTTCAGGGACCTACCCCCTTCCTTTTTTTTTTGTGCATGGATGCGAGTCTGGCTTGTTCTTCCTCTCTGGGAGCATGGCTCTGAGTCTCAGCACTTAGTTGGCCCCATTTCCCTCTGGGTGAGGAAGCGAACATCAGGAAAGTCTGAATATTGAGCTGCAGTATTTGCTGTTATTTGCTGCAATGGGGAAACCCAAAGGCCAGATTTCTAGAAAGTGTGCTGGGGATGCTGACTTGGTGCTGGTCAGAGTGGAAGCTGAAGCACATAGTATTTTATAATAAATACTAATGAAATCCTAGATCTATAATAGCATTTCGGATATCTAAAACAAACCATGTGCTTGTAAAAAAGTGGAAAGAGATCAACTTTAAGCCATAAATTCTTGGTAATAGAGGGTTTTTTTCTATTTATGTTTGATAGATATTTTTATTTCCAGAGGAATGTCAACTCCTAATTTCATAATGTATCATGGGCTTAAGAAAATTGAATTTAATAAAAAGCCAAAGATGAATGACATCCTTAAAGGTCCCAACACTTGTCTTTATTAGCAGGACAAACTGTAGGTCTCCAAACACTGCTGCTCTCCAAATGAAAGTTTAAATGAAAAGTACAGTTGTGTCACAGGTTAAATTTCATTGTGGGCCCAGCTAACATTGTTAGTGAGGAGCTGGCTGTATTTGTTTCCTTAGACACCAGGGCAGCCAAACTCACCACGCTATAGAGCTCTTTCTGTTGAGGAAGTGTTTCTTCTTCTTAGGGGGAGAGGAAGGACACATCAGAAAAATCAGGAGTCAGATGAGCCTGACTCATGGGCCACACCTCAGAGTTGGCTCTTGGAAATCCTGGATACCTGATTTTTTGCAGGGGGACCAATGTGTGTTTTTTTGGTGTGTGTTCAATTTTGTTATTCAGTTCCAAACCCCCGTTTACTCTGTATGTAATGCTTCATGGGGAACAGAAGGTCCAGGGAATTGGGAAATGAGTGTTCCCCTCTCTTCACCTTGAGAGGAGAGGTATCACCTGGTCTAAGCAGCAGCCTGGGCCTCCCTTCTCTCCCCTCTGCCTCAGCCTTGCAGCCATTTTGCCCTCTCTATCTCTGGGAGTAAGATCCTGTCAGCTTCCTCATCTTTGGAGATCAGCCCACGGAGACAAGGCAACCAGAATCTTTGAATCTCTCTAGCATGAAATCTGACGGACTTGATTTGGTTTTCGGTCCTACTGTTATGTGTTGGATTGAAATAGATGCTTTAAAAACAAGCCCAATATTAGTGGGTATGTTTTGCGGGGAGGATGCCTGACTTTCCTGGGACATCAAGGAGATTGACCATTTCTCCTTGTGTTTTCCCAGTCATTCATTTCCTAAGTGCAGTCAGGTGTCATCTGTTTCGTGTTGCTTCTCCAGGCTGTCTCTGGAGAGAACCAGTTTACTTCGATTTTAATGATACTGGAAAGGTCTTCTCCAGAATGAAGGACCCGGGGAAGGGGTGCTGCCGGAGCTATTGGGGCCACTGAATGGGCAGAGCCCCCTTTCTTTCTCTCTGCAGTGGAGGCCCTTTCCACATGCTAATTTTTCTCAGAGAATTTTGCTTTTATTTATTTTTTTTATTATTTCCTATTTGTCTCTTCCAGATGTTTTCAGGGCAGTTTTTTTTTGTGTGTGTTGTAAACTAATTCCATTCATGTTTTAAAAATTTATGAAAGCGCTAATAAAAATGTCAAAGTGGTAAAAATGTTAGCTTTTCCTCTGCTTTGATTAAATTTTGCAAACTGTTTTTGAATATTAAAAAGCAATAATTTTTTTTATTCTCTCTCCTTGCTTTCCCTCTTCTCTCTGGTACGCATGTGCTCTCTCCTGCCCTCTCCCCCCTCTGGTGTGTTCCTCCCTTCCCAGGAGCGATGTATGAGGCGTGCTGCACAGCCAGCGTTCTGCAAGCCTGTTTGCACACCAGGACCTTGGTGCTGTGCATCTCTATTAAATAGCGGAGACAAATTAATCTTAGAGACTCCAAACAAATTGTCACTCCTCCTCCTTCTCTTCCATTATGTTTCAGTGGACTGGGAAGGGCTGGCTAAGCAATTGGGCTGGCGGTGTAGGGGGAGTGTGTACTGCCTGAAAGAAAGGTGGGAGGTGCTAGCTCCTGTTACTGTTACTCACTTTTCTCCTCCTCTTTGGGATCCCCTTGGCTTTTTTATCTTTTTAAAAAATTAAGAAATAATGAAGAAACTTACCAGCTTGGTTCAAACTTCATACAAGGAAATCTATGCATTGGTCTGATGGCTGGTTGTCTATATGGCAGGAGATCAGACCCATTTCAGGACAGGGACCTGGGCAAGAGAAAGAAGGGGGTATTCTTAGGGGCTCAAGTTAGCAAGCCTCTGCTAGAGAACCAGTTGGAGAAACTGGGGCAGATGGCACCACTGTCTTCCTTCCCGTTTCCAGAAACAATGGGGTTGAGGGCTGTGTCCGGTCCCTAGAACCTATGAGGATATTAGCAGTGGGAGGGTTAGGATTGTAACTGCTGGTGCCGTTTCACTCAATCTTGGGTTTGGCCTGGCAGGAGCTAATGAACCCAAAACACTCATTTTTTGTTGACTTGGAGCTACTGTTGGAAATGGTCGATTACAATAACTTATTTTTCCTTTTCTGTATCTTTGGCACTCTAGGAAATCATCGAGTTCCCCATCTTGAAGCTAAATGGCCGGACCATGGAGATTGAGTCTACCTTTCACATGTATGTCCAGCCTGTAGTCCATCCACAGCTTACCCCATTCTGTACAGAGGTAAGAGCCCTAGAAGTGGGCAGCAAGGGCTGCTGGGAGAGGAATTTTGGAATCCTTGGTGCTCTATATAGGCCACTTAGAGAAAGCATAGGGATTCTCAGTGCTTAAGGCAAGTGCGCACTGGACCTAGCAGTTAGGTTTTATAAAGTCTGACGCTCCACTCAGGTCACTGTTGTTACTGGGGACCCAGGGAGAGCAGTGGCTTAGTCTACCCCTGCTTCCCCAGCATCCCTTCCTGGTGACCGGCACTTGGAGACCAGGAGCAGAATGGCACTTCTGGGGTTCAAGTTCTTTCCAGTTCAATTTCCCTTAGGGCCCCTGGGCAAGAGGTAAAGATTTCAGCCACTTGCAAGGCAGGGTTATGTTCAGGCCTTCTTAGCTTTCTGGCATTGTTACTCTGTCCTCCTGTAAAGTGGCCCTGCATGAAGCGTAGGTTGTTTGTCGGAGGTACATTCTGTCACCGAGGGAAGAGAAGAGTGGTCTGAGTGAAGCATGAGGCCTGACTGGCCAAGGCTGAAATCTCCTTATCCTAGGCGGGTACTGTACTTGGCCTCCTTGTCAGCAGGGAGGTATTGATCCCATTTTACAGGTTGTGAAACTGGGCCTAACTGAGATTTTGATGCTTGCTGGAGGCTCAAAAGAGCCATTGGCAGAGGGGAGGAGCCCCTGCAAGTTCTAACTCCCAGAACTGTGTGAAGCCTTCTGTGGCTACTTTTCCCTGTGACATGTCACACTTTTCCCTGTGACACTCAGTGGTGGCCAACAGGCTGTGGTGCAATCGGGTTAAGAATGTGTGGTAGCAGGGATGATGAGAATCTTTTAAGAGTCTGGGGCTGAGGTACATTAGAGACTTTGTGCCTTCATTTAGACACCTGTCTGCTACATGTGAATGAAATAGGTGGAAAGGGGTTCTTGAGTTATCCCAAAAAATCTCCTTGGTGAGAAGGCTGGGAATGAGTGTGTCTGACCCTGGTAGGCCCTGAGGCTGACTTAGTCCAGATATGAGGCCTCGAAATTGCTCTGAATTCGATACCAGTGTTTGCCAACTGACCCAGGTGGGGCTTTTGCTGTAGGCATCTATCTGCCAAGGTGCCTAGCCTCTTAAGGCTTTTGTTACTCCAACTAATGATGTTGCGTTCTGGTTCGCTCCTTCCTCTACTGGGTTTTCCCCTTTCCCCTGGGATTTACCTATACCACCAGGGGGCGCTAATCTGACTTTTCTGCCCCATTTGAAAAATCACCATTTTAATGAAGATGAAAATCCCCTTGCTTATGGGAAGGGAAGGAAAGACTTCTTTAAGCCAGCCAGTTCCCTGATCCCTCCACTGGCCTGAAAGGCTAATGTCCTCTTGTCCTTACATAGATAAGCAGGCCCAAATTTTGGTAAGTTTGCTACCTGTTTAGGAATGGAACAGAATTCTGCTGGAGCTGGACCCTGGGCAGGAGTGGATGCTTGAGAGTATAGGAAGAAGAGGGACTTCTTTTAGAGTGAGGCTGCTGCTGCTACTTTTTGTGGGGATGGGAGGAGGGATTGCGAGGCTATGATGAATAGTTTCTTCTTTCTAGAAAGCTTCACCCAAGGACGCACGTGCATAATTTGGAGGGAGTAGGAGTGGTGGTTGGGATCCTTATTATGAAGCCTGTTCTAAAAGTGAAAATGTGGTTGTTCTGTAGGCACTGGGTCTGCCATTTTGTCTCAGGTTTCCAGAGCTCAAAACTCGCCATGATCTTGTCCATCCCTTTTTGACCAGCCTCATCTCCTCTCTGCTTCGTCTCCCACCTAGCTCCCCTCACCCAGAGGTTGCCCTCTTATAGTCTGTCTTTTCACATGATGGTCCTTCTGCCTGCACAGAGTTCCCACTCTCCCTGCCAACTCCTGCTTGACCTCCAGGACTCTGCTTAGGGTCACCTTCCCTGATCCTCAGATTGAGTTGTGCTTATTCCAACATAGAACTGATCAGATAATTTATACTATAATTATTTATCTCTCTCTTCACTAGACTATAAGTTCTTTGAGGGAAGAAACTAGACCTGATCCGTCGCCATCCCATCATTAGGGTCTGCTACCAAGTAGACACTTGATAGGTGTCCCTTAAATGAATGAATATTGTCAAGAAGTTATTTTCTGTCTCTCCCAAAAACAACTGTACTGCTAACTTGTTATTTTGAGTAAGTGAAGTCTTATTTGGAAAACCTCAGATCATATAAATTTTGCCCTGTCTCCATACCAGATGGAATTGTATCTCCAAGAGACATAGACACAGGATGGGGACTGTCATTCTGAGACCTCATCCAATCTGGCAGTTGGTGCCTTTTGCGGGTAGGGATGGAGGTCATTCCAACCAGAGGAAATCTCTCATTAGTAAGTGTGAGGAACAACCCCAAACCTCCAGATTATACTTAAGTAGTTCCTCTGGCAGGATTTTCTCTCTTGTGCACAAGAAGTTCTTAACCCCAGCATATATGTGTGTGTGTGTGCGCGCACACACGCACATGCATATGACGTGCACATACATGGGCACATGCTTGTGTGGGGAGAGAAGCAGGCTCAGTACTGGACAGTAGGAAAAAGGATTCCACTTTGAATAAGTTTCTAGCACACACAGAGAGACTCTTACTTTTATTGCTTCATATTAGGAAAGTGTTAGTACCCTTCTTGAGGTCCTTTTTTAGCTTCAGTTGAGAGTTGGCCTGGAGACATGGTTCTGACAGAGATAGGATGGGATGTGTTTCATTCCTTCCCGAGCCCTTTCCCTGTGACCTCTGGAATCTGCTCCAGCTCATCAAGTCTCTGTCTCTAGCAGCTGGGCTGCTGCACAGCCCCTAACCATGTCTTCTTTTTGTTGTTGTTATCGTGAAAAAAACTAGAGAAATACTCATTTTGCTAAATGCAGTAAAGGGCTTTGTCTTGCACCTGTACTTATAAAGGGTGAGATTTATTGGTCTCTTTGTCTGAGGAGAAAGAGTGGGTCTGATTATCAGATTGCACACCAGAGACAAGTGCTTATGTAATCAACAAACTGTCTTGGTGTCAGAATACGATTGTGTTGGAGATAAACTGTGAAAGGAGAAAGTGCTGGATGCTGACATGCTATTGGCACTGAGTTTCCTGGGCTGCTTCCTGTAGTTGCTAGTGTTTATGATGAAGCCAGCTCATTCCTGGACAAAGCCCTTGTGAGGGTAGGGGATCTCAGTAACCAGCCATGTTATCAGTCAGGGTCAAAAGCCCCTTGCCTTGTGGTTTCTGAGTCTGGAGAAGTGGGAGTTAATCTGTAATCCCTCAGTGAAAGGAGCCACAGAGCACACATTAATTCTTCCTCTCACCTCTCCTGCTTTAAGTGGCTAAGGTCTCTGAGCTCTGTTTAGCCTGTGAATCCTGGTTCTCAGCTTAATAATACTTGGCTTTGCTCTAGTACCTTTCGTTGTGAGGAGTGAAAGCTTTTTACAAACATGTATTAACCCAAGTGGGACTGGGCTTAAACTGTGACATGAAGGATTTAAATTAGGCCTAAGATAGAACTTCCCAGTATTAATTTAACAGAATTGTCTCGTTCCCTCATAGCATCCTGTATAAGCCTTACAGGTGTTCTTATCAGGTAGATGAACTAATTTTTACTAAAAAAAAAAAAAAAGATGGGGTCTCTCTATGTTGCCTAGGCTGGTTCCAAATTCATGGGCTCAAGCAGTCCTCCTGCCTTAGCCTCCCAAAGGGCTGGGATTGCCCGCCGAGCCACCACGCCCAGCCCAGAACTAACTTTAATTTCATCCCTTCTTTGTCCAGTGCCTTGGCAGAGCTGATACGGGGTGGTCCATCCTTGGAGGGATTAATACAGGGGCCTGAGGCCTTCCCTGAGAAGGCTTTGTCTAGCTGAGCCAACTGCTCAAGCCCCTGTGTCTCTGGGGGCTAAATGCAAATCCTTGAGGAACTCAGCTGTGAGCCGTGCTTTACTGGGCCACAAATGAAAATGGCTGTTGTCTGGGAAGCATAGCGAGAGAAGGAGCTTACCTCACTAGGCTCTTCCCAGGCTGATGATTCTAGGATCACGGAGCACTGGAGTGGAGTTTGTGAAAGCCTCAGGATGCTGGAGCTCCATTTCCCCAGCTCCTGGTGGGAGAGTTGGGCTTAGTCTGCAGTGAGGCATCCTGCAGCAGAACCCCGGAGCAGCACTCTGGTTTTCCATTTTGATGTAGTGATTTTCTTGCCCCACATCAGTGATTTTCCTGGGGCCCAGGGCAGGGGCTTATGGGGTACACAGGTGCTGACCTAAACCTTATCTCCAGGGAGGGAGGGCTCTTGGCAAGCGTGCATTGCTTTCCTGTGTGAGTGAGACTTTCTTGAAGCCCTTGGCATTCAGCTCATTTGAGGGACTGTTGGTGGGAGCCAAGAGAAGAAGTGGACCTTACCTTGCCCCCTGAAACTCAGACCAGACACAAGACTAACATTTGGACCCTGGAGCTTCCTAAGAAGTGAGAGTAGCTGTGGTCTGCCTTTTCCAGGATGGTCCTGATCTTGAGCCTCAGCTCCAGGCTTGAAGGTGTGTCTAAGCCCTAGGCTTAACAGGAGAGAAGCTGGACCAGAACGGGCAGCGGTGGGCCTGTGGGTGTCTGTCACTAATCTGGGATTGGTAATAAGCCTCCTCCTGACTCTCTTTGGCCCCTTCATGACTGAGGCAAAACAGGGTATCTGCTTACTCAGTTTGTGGCTCTGGAAGGTGTACAGGCTCTGGGTACTAGTTGGGGCTGGGCGTAGGAGGGGCTGCCGAGAATGCGTATTCCATGAGGGCAGAGTTTTTACATTTTTCTTCACTGCCGGATCCCTAGTTCCTGTAATGTGGCCCAGCCCGCAGCAGACTTTCTATGAATAGTTATTGACTAAATAAAAGGAGGAGTCCTTTGTACTCCAAGATTATTGAAGCTGCTGACCGAGGGCACTCCCCCACCCCCAGCCCCCCAGCCCTTAGTGGACCATCTTTTCTTCTCTTTGACTCAGGCCCTCCCTCTGCTGGGCAGTTCTTTGGTCTTCCAAGCAAGGAAAGGGTGTGGAGGTGCCAGCCGGGTGGGCATGCTGTGGGTTAAAGCTTTGCGAAGCAACAGTGTAGTTAATCTTTCTAATTTATTTTCCTTTTAGACCATGGGAAGTCTGTAGGCAGCAGCTGTTACCCAATTAAAATACAGATTAATATAAAAACAGTTTCTGGAATATAAAATAGAGTGGCTGTGTCCTTACACTTCCTTAAAATACCACCTAATAATGACTTGATGAACTACAGAAACCCACCTAGAGGAGCTCAGCGTTTTTAAAATGAAAATTTCTCCCTAAAAGGTGTATATTACCATTCCATGTAAGTCACCATGAGAAAATAACCTTCCCACTTAGAGCCAGAGATTTCTGTGCATTGGGTATTTGGTATTCATTAAGTATAATTATAGTTTAATTGGAGTTTAATCTCCCCCCCAACACACTTTAAAAAAAAAGAAGTTTCCAAGCAAGTCTGAGATACTACTCTTTCTGAAAGTAGCCAGGGACATGCCGGGGGTGGTGATTTCCAGTTGGTGTCCAGGACATGGGGGCCTTATGCCCTCAGATCCTTGTTAAGTAGTCTATCCCCAGTCTGTGCCTGAGGGATATTTTTACTTTAAACCAAACCAAAACAAAGGAAAACAACAAGCTTGTTTGAACCCAGGCATGACCTAGGTGGAGCATAGGCCTGAGTCAGAAATTCTCTAGGTCATAGTCTGAACATTAGGCCTTTTTGTCTTAGTTTCCCCATCAGTTAAAGGTGACTCTGTCTCTTGCTTGGCTAGTTCATATCGATGACCCACGTATGCAGGGTGAAGGATAGGAGCCTGTGGGACTTCATAGATGTTAGGGAAGGTGTTAGGGAGAGTGTGGCAGGGGGCAGTGCTGGATACCAAGGCTCAGAGAAGGGGTGGACTTGAAGCCAAGTGTGCCTGTCCTGTATGAGAACTCCCCAAGTTTTACAGGAACTTCTGTGAAGCTAGGAGCTGAATTTACTTGAAACTGTAATTGTGGGAAGTTATTGAGCCTATTGAATACAAAAGACATGTAACATCAATTTGTTTGCAAGCTGAAAGCTGAAACAGGTGTGAGAACATGCCTTGTGGTCAGTGTGTGTATGTGTACACCCATTTCAGGGCAGGATTTTATGGGAGAAGCTCACATTGTGTCCTGCGTCCTAGGTCTTTATTCTCAAGTCTTCTAGTTGGGCTTTGAACCTAAAGCAGTGCCAGATCAGAGCCCTTTACAGCAGAAGGAGAAAAACAGAAAGGAAAGGGTTCTGTTCAGCCTTGAGTCCCTTCACCCTGGTTTTCTACCCATCAGTTATTTCTCTTTCCTTTCAGCTCACCGGGATTATTCAAGCCATGGTGGATGGTCAGCCAAGCCTGCAGCAAGTGCTGGAGGTAGGTTGAGTGACCTTTAATTCCTGACCTCTGACCCCTTCCTGCTGCCTTTCTCTCCCTCCCCTCCTGAGAATGTAGCTGTGTAATTTGACTATGATTATGGCTTGATTAGAATAACATTTGCTGTCACATCAGTGACATGCTGTTGAGAGTATTGAACCATTGATCTGTCATCTCCAGCTGTTCCCGTCAGGGTTTCTGACAAGATGTCCCAGTGCTGCCAGGAGTTGGGCAGAGGGGCCCCCACCCCTTCCTGGCCTATGGCCCTGTGCTGGCTGGCTCCGGGGTAGCCTGTGCTGGGTGTGCTGGGGAGTAGGGGAGCTGAGCTTGGTACTGTGGGACTAGCCCCGGGGACTGGAGGTGTTTTTGTTTAGCTTTAGTGTTGGCTTCTTGTGGCATGTGAGCACTTCATTAACTCACCCAGAACTCCCCATCGATGGCTTTTGTTTGCTGAGGGCTCCTCCAGGAGCTGTGGCTGGGCCCGCCTGGCCCACTGCAGCTTGCCGCTGGATGCTTTGTGCCTGTCGGGTGCAGAGGCTGCACTGGGTAATGATTCCTAATCAGAAATAATTACAACAATTGCCTATGTGAGGGAAATCAAATTAAAGACTTTAAAACCCTTGGCAGAGACCACACTTCCAGGATGTTCTCCTCGGGGAGCTAGAAAAGGTTAAGATGCTGTTTCTTGCACTGTAGCCCGAGGGAATAAGGAAGGGCAGTGCTTGGTCTTAGCTTGTCTCCCACCCTCCTCTGGCCTGGAGGTTTTCACAGGGGGAGAAGGTCCCCCTTCCATGTCTTTCTCTATGGGCGGGGTGAGGGGAGAAGAGAAAAAGCCTGTGGATCTCATTAGGTGCTTTATTTATTTTTTAAGACCAATAAAGCCAAAGCTCAGACCTTAATCAAAGCGTAGGAGAAAGCAGAATATCTGCAAGAATAGCACGGCACATCTACACTGGAGGTGTGCATCCTAGAGGAAGTAGCGTAGTGGCAGGGAGCAGGGCAAGATATCTTTTTTTTAGCCAGGAGATCCTGTCCCATGCAGGAGAGAGATGCAGATTGAATTTCGTGGGGGCCCCCGAAGGATGGAACCAGGGTCAGAGAGGCAAGTTTAGGCTCACCTCAGCGGCAGAGGGTATTTCCTCTCCCTGGGAGTGTGGGAACCCAGGCTGTGACCAGTCTGGTTGGGGGTCAGAGTTTGGGCACCTGCAGTATATTGGGAGAAGATAAGATGAGCTCTGAGATGCTTCCCACATTGACCATCTTTTTTTGAAGAGATTCATTCCTATGACCAAGGGAGCTCCTTAGCATGGACTGCTCCCCATTAAAACAGACTCAAGGAGACAGAGGGAACTCATTCTTTCCTCTGTCCCGGCCACCATCCCCTGCCAGGGCCTGGCTCCTGAGGTATGCCAGAAGACAGGTACCTTTTTCCTGGAACATCTGTAGCTGGGATCCTGGAGGAAGATACTTGCTCTGGGCCAGCACCAAACCAGGACTGTTGAGGTTATGGGTTTTTTTTTCAGTGGCCCCTGTCAAGGAGGAGATGTGATCTTGAGGAGGCAACCCCTGCTAACTCTAGGCCAGCCCTGGAGCAGGGTGCTCAAAGAATTCTGAGTCTCACCCAGGAAGCTACTTTCTGCTACTACATGCTTTGTGGGTAAGGGGGGAAAATTCCTGGTATCAGCTTGAAGAGAGTTTCTGGCTGGACTAGGAGACCAGACTGGACTCCGCTTCATCTCATTAGTCCTGAGATGTTTATGGAGATAAAGAGTTCATTTCTTGTCCGAACCAAGGCCCTTAGCAGGCAGCCAGCTAGATGTTTACCTGACTCGTGGTAAAAGGTGCTCACTAAATAGCTGCTGTGCAAGCGAATGGCCTGGGTCCTAAGCTTCCAGGGACCCCAGTGAGTGTTGAGTGCTTCCTGTGATAAGGGCCCAGTTTTGCTGAGTGTGGCCTCCTGTTGTGTCTTGCTCTCTCTTTCACTGTGCAGGAGTTGGGGCGTCGGGGAGCCCCTCTAATATGTGGGGCACTTAACTTGGGGATATAAAACAGTGAGCTTGGGGGAGGTTATGCTGATTTAGGGAGCGCTAGTTTCACCTTACCTCTTTTCTTAGGTGACCCTGGGGAAAGGATTCATGCACGTGTGTGTGCGCGCATGTGTTCGTGCACGCGTGTGTGTGTGCGCGTGTGTGTGCGTGCACACTCACATGCCTGTACATGCAAGGAGTTGGGCCAGAGTAACTGAGGAGACAGATCATTCAGCAGTAGAGGATCCAGAATTTATCTTTTGGGAAGATTCTTTGGCTGAGGAGGATTCTGTGGTGTACAGACTGTAAAGAGTGTTTATAGAGACCACATGGTCTGCATAGTCTGGCACCGGGGAGCAACTCTGACATTCTGGTTGATAGGGCTGCTATAGCCGCGGAACTAGGTAGGATCCTTGGCCTTAGTCAAGGATGACTTTAGCGTGGGCTGGGCCTCTGGCATCACAGAGGTATCCAGGGAGCCAGCCTATACCTGCTAGAAGTAATCCTACTTAAGATACTTAAAGATATCCATGGACTCTCAATTTCCTGCTGAGCACACGAGGCCCTTTACAGTCTGGCCTAACTTAGTCCTCCAGCCTCTGTCCTTTCTTTCTGTATACTGTGGACTTCAGTCACCCTAAACTTCTACCTACTCATGTTTTCAGTCAGCCAGCAAATATCTCTTGAGTAGATCCTGTGCTGGGTGAGAGATTAAGGTAGTGAGTAAGGCAGAGTTCCTGCCTTCGTGGTGCTTATATTCGCAGGGAAAGCAGACATTTAACAGATAATTGCTTCAAATACAAAATTATTGCATATGTACCTTTGCCTCTACCTGTAGTATCCTCTACTATGTTCCACCATGTCAGGTTCCTACTTCAGTTATCTTCTTTGAGAAGCCTTTTCTGACTCCTTTCCCTGTGAAAGGTAGGGCTAGCCACTTCCTCTTCTTGGTCCTGTAGCACTGTGGTCACGTCTCCAGTGCTGGATCTGTTGTATTATGATGATCTGCCTTTCTCCCCTTCTCAGCCTACTGCCTGTTTTGTGGTAGGTACTTAAAACATTATCACATTTAATTCTCAGAACAACTCTGTGTAAGGTTTCATAGATGAAGGAAACTGAGGTTCAGAGAGGTTACATGACTTTTAAATGACTCTCCATCAGTGACACAGCCAGGATATAGAATAGCCAAGGGTTGGAATCCAGATGTGTCTGACTTCCAATCCTGCATTTTTAACGACTATGTGAGATAGCCTTAAAAAATAATCTCTTGCATGGGTAGAAGCAGTGGTGTGACTCCCTCTCCATGCCTGGGGTCTTCTGAAAAATAGGCAATGCTTCATGAATTCTTTTTATTTATTATTTATTTATTTTTTACAGAGTCTCGCTCTGTCACCTAGGCTGGAGTGCAGTGGTGTGATCTCAGCTCACTGCAACCTCCACCTCCCAGGCTCAAGCAATTCTTCTGCCTCAGCCTCCCAAGTAGCTGGGATTACAGGAGTGCACCACCACACCCAACTAATTTTTTTTATTTTTAGTACAGATGGGGTTTTGCCATGTTAGCCAGGCAGATCTCAAATTCCTGGCCTCAAGTGATCTGCCTGCCTTAGCCTCCCAAAGTGCTGGGATTACAGGCCTGAGCCACCACACCCAGTCTTGAATTGTTTATGATATTTCTCTTGTTGTATACTGATTTTAGTATTTGAATTTCCAGTGTGAGCACAAATAAATGGATCAAAGGGTTGAAGGGAAAGAAGGATTTAGAGTGTTTAGGAGCAATTTTTCTCCCTGTGTAGAAATTGAGCTCAGCCTTCAAAATATTCTGCTGAATTTGAATCCTCAACCATGAAGAAGAGAAATACGAAGTTGGGGGCCAGTTTTGAACTTTTAGCAGCTGGAGCAGGCAGCACTATCCCAGGTGTCAGGATGGGGCTCCAGTCCAGTAAAGGGGACCCTTAAGGTGAAAATTTTCATCACCTTCATTTGGTGAATAACCAAATTTGTAAGTTTGGTTGATAAACATTTGGTAGAAGAGTAAAACAGATAAATGAATGAGTGAAGCTGTGGGTTGGAGCCCCTGTTTGGGGCCTCCTTCTACTGTGTTCTCATGCCCCAGGACAACAACCTGTCTATGCTGGGCCAGGGGACCAGTGAGAGGAACAGCCAAGTCAGAGCAAGGTATTTGAACTGACCTGCTGGGATCTGGAGCAGGCTGCTAGGCAATAGGCGAGTGTAGGGTCTCCCTCCGGCTACACACTCGGGCTGCGGAATCTTCCTAAGGGGTTGTCTTCCAAATACCTCCGTGGTTCTCAGCCAAGCCTGAGAGCCCACAGCGGGGGCCATAGTTGGATAAGATTACAATTTTCTCCTGCTCTGATTACAAGCAGCTTGTCTGTGTTTCACTGTTGTGGCTCTTCACAGGCTCAGGGAAAAAAAAAGGAAAATCTCATTTGTTCTTGTGTACTTTTCAGAGGGTCGATGAGTGGATGGCGAAGGAAGGCCTCTTAGATCCAAACGTCAAGTCAATTTTTGTCACCTGTGGAGACTGGGACTTAAAAGTCATGTGAGTATGAGAAGGGCTACTTTGCTGGCAGAGCTTGGAATCTGTGGGACCAGGTCTTGCCTTTTGGAGGCTTAAATGTCTACAAGGCAGCTGGGTCAGCGATTCTTCAGGTCTCTGAGGCTGCCAGGGATAGAAGAGGGTTGGGAGCCCTGCCTTCTGTCTCTCTGGAGCAGGGTGTGGGCAAGTCAAGGGCCTGCCTGGACAGTTGGGGCCTTCCCGCCTTTGCCAGGTCTCACTGCTCATGACAGCCCTTCCAATTGCTGGGGCTGTGTGTTACTGCCCTGGAAGGGAGGAGTTAAAAGAGTGTCTTGGAAAAAAAAAAAAATTAAGCCAAATACCATGTTTATTATGTAATGAAATATAGTAACTTATTTATCAACTACATAAAGTAGGCATTATTATTCTTCCTATTTTATAGCTGAGGAAGTAAAAGTACAGAAAGGTTAAGTAATTTACCGAAGGACACACAGAGCCAGGATTCAAACTCAGGTCCTTGCTCTTAACTATTATACTATGCTGCCCCTTTATCTGGCCTGCAGGACCCTGGTGATCCAACTAGGAGCCCAGTGGTGGGATGAGAGAGGGCTGCTCTGGGAGCTGCCCATGCCACCAGCCTCCTCTTTCCTCCTTTGTCCCCACTGCTTATTTTACCTTTGTCTCCTGATCCTGTCCCGGTTATGGAAGACAGAATCAGTTTCTTTGCTGGGCTGACACTTGTGCATCTTGTCTGCCCTCATGAATACATGGCTTCAGATGGCCCCCAGGGAACTGAAGTGGGATGGAGGTGGTGGGGGCATTGTTTGCTGAGGAGTCATAGAATCTGTTACCTCTGTGTTCACTGTGACTGAAGGTAGCAACAGGTATTCCGTGTGTGTGTGTGTGTGTGTGTGTGTTTGAACTTTTGAGCGTAAAGTGGGATGTTTGTGAGGTGTGTGGTGTAGTAGCTCTGCAGTAACATTTTCTACCACATCAGGTGTCATCTCCTCACCAAGGCCCTTTGTAAGCCTTTTGGTTGCTAGACATTGAGGTGAAGTTATGTACCCAGGTGGGTGTCAAGCCTGCTATTGGACCCCAACTTTCTAGGTGAGACAGGAGGAAGAAAAGGCCCCAAATCACATGAGCACACACAGACCTCATCTCTCATACCCTTTAGGTGTGTACACACACTGACTGCACCCCTCTTGGTTTATTCCAGAGGGTCTCCATATTCCCATGTGACACCTCTTTGTCAGGGAAATTATACAGGCTGGAATTAGAAGCAAATATGACTCAGAAGGAGTCCATGGAGAAGGAGTGGAGGAAGAAGGCTCTTGTTCTTGTTAATGGCATCCTGGGCAGCTTTGAGTCCTTAAAGCGAGGAAGGGACTTGACGTGGATCTCTGTAGCCCAAGAGAAGCTACTCAAGGTGGGACCAGTTTCAGGCTGATACCCAGAATTCTGGGATTCATATGGCCCAGGAGGAAGGCCCTTTGGTCCAGTCCAGAGTTCTACTTACTCCAGGTAGCCTCCCCAGGACTGCCTTCATCCAGTGTTGTTCTCTCTTTGGCATCTTCACCTTCCAAACACATGCATTTCAGAATCTTCTACTTTAACTGTGCACGATGTGTACATATGTGTGTATATGAAAACTTTCCCGTGCATGAGGTTGGAGACTATAAACTTGGAGTTGATCTCCCCATGAGATGGAGAGGGAATTTCAGAGGGTGCTGTCTTCTTTTGGTCTGGCCTGTTCTGTAGCACAGTGGACCCTGGACAGGTGTTAGTGACTCAGGAGATTGCCCTGCCTCTTCCTGAAAAATGATATCATCAAGAAGAGAGACTGGGTTGTGGAACCCAACCGTATATGAAAGGAAGCCAAGTTTTAATGAGCGCATACCTTGCCGCATCCACACCTCCTGACTACCATCTCTGGTGGGTGGTGGTATTGTCTTTCTTTTATAGATGAAACAAACCAAAAACCCCTGTGGCTCGGAGAGCTAAAGACATGTAGCTAGACAGAATTGAATTCTAAGACCGTGTAGTTTCCAAAAGAGATGGGTAGGGCAGACTTGGTTGTCTGGTTTGGGTTTGGACTGGGAAGGCTGGTGAAGCTTCAGAAAAGGGTTTTCAGAAAGGAAGCAGGTGGCAGGGCTTGGGGGAGGGAGCTCTGTGGCTGCCTCTTATAAACAGGTCTCTGCATAACTGCTGGGAAGGCTCTTAATTAAATGTGTAACAAAATAAAAACAGCCGGAGAGGAAACCTAAGTAGTGCTGCGTGACAGCGCACAGCTAATCGGTGTTCCTGGAACCTCTTGGCAGAGGCTCGTCATATGGCTCTCGTCAGAGCCATCACCTTTTTATGCGCCTGGTAAAGGCTGCAGATGAGCCTGACAAGGGTGGTGTTAAATTGACACTCACAACTTGTTAGTCTGTGGCTTACTTCTTATTTTGACATCCGTTTTCAGATTTAACTAAGTCTTAGGAATTCAGCAAACATTTTCATTTCACACTCTAGTTTCCGGAAGCCATAGTTCCTTCTCATTGCTGTCCTTACCTCCTCCTCCCCTTCTCTCCCCAGCAGCTTCACATCACTTTTGTTGGAAAGGGGCTGATAAGTGGGGCACTGAGAAATGGGAACTGAAGTGGCAGCATAAATCCCACTGGAGAAAAGATATCTGCTCCCATCCTGACAAATCATTTTATGTCCATCTTTTGTCAAAGCCAGATGAGTTGATTCTCCAGGTGTACGTGGGCTTTGGTGTGTAGTCACAGACCCTGCTAAGGTGAGTTGTTATTTAGTGGTGTGGGTTTAATTTTCCTCTCAATGTTTTTGAAGAAACACCACTTGTTGCGGGTCTGGCTCTTGGTCAGCTTGCCTTCCCTGCCTGCCCTACTTTTTCTTCACCTTGCTTGGTGTTTCTTGAAGCTTCCCATAGGGTTTGGTGGTGTTTCTCTGCTTACCCAGGTAGAAAGTGCCTCTTTCAGAGGGCTCCATCTTTGTTATTGTGGTGGGGTTAGCGCTGGTATAGACTGAGGAGGGACACCTGCACAGGCACCCACTTGAGGAACTTAGATTTTAGCCTGTAGCTTGAAGATCCAGGTTCACCAGCCAAACAGCACAGCATGGCTGAGAAGCTAGACTAGAGGCTTTCCCAGTGGGCCCTGAGTCTGAGAAGAAGGAAGATTGAGAAGAGGGAAAGACTGGAGGGAAAGAGCTGACCTGAGGGAGGCCCTGGCCCTTAGTGTAGTCTAGGAAGAGTCCCCTTTAGAGAGGGTAGGAGAATCAGATGCTATTCTCTGGTGGAATAGGGGCCAGGGGCCTGCTCAGAGTCTGGTGAGAAGACCCTCACTTAGGCTCAGCCTCAGTTTTGGAGCAGGAAGTTTTCCTCCCCCTGGAGGGAGAAGGGAGGTTGAACACATAAATGCAGGCATTTGACTTCCTTTTTCCCCCCTGCCTTCTTGCTGGGGTGTGCATACTACATTCTGGCTGTGCTCTACTGGTGTGGACCTGGAGTTCACTTCAGGTTTTAGGAGGTCTGGAGATGGAAAGATACTTGCCCAGATTACACTGTCACTGTTGGAGATGGGGAGCATGCACTCAGCAGGGGCTACTGAGGTTTCCTCGAGGCTGCTGTCAAGCGGTCAAGACCACTGAAGAGACTGCTGTTACCTGGAGTGAAAGGTGCCATGATGGAACCACACACCTGGGTGAGCACTGTGGGGTCGTGACTGTCCTGTGGGGATGTAGAAGATGGCTAGAAGGGGGCCTAGTGACATGCTTGCTGCGGGTTGGGCTGGGTCCTCTTGGCATTGCTCAACAGCTGACTACTGCAATCTTCTTGAAATCATCTTTATCTGTACTTTTGTTATGTTTTCTGTTTCTCTGGCTTCTCCTCCTCAGTCACTTGGGTAGATATTAATACTTCTTTTCTTCCTTTTTTTCATGTTGGTGTTTCTTAAATAGTGGTGTTCCTTTGATTTCTATCCTGGTTGTCTTTTCTGTTTATTCTATACATTCACACTTATCAGTGATCTCATCTTTTGCCATAGCTTCAACTATCCTCTGTATGCTGATGTCTTCTAATCTTTTTCTCCAACTGGAGAAAAGAAATCGGCTTAATCTGCCACCTAAACGCCACACCTGCATATCCAGCTACCTACTCTACATGTCCACCTAGTTGTCCACAGGCCCCTTCAAGCTCAGATGTTTATCTTTCTCCTCACACCCTTTCCTCCATCATTCCCTCAAATAATGACTGGCACCATCTACTGAGTTGTTCTGTTGGAAATCTGAAAATTATCCCTTCTCTATCCACACCAGTTAATTGCCAAATCCTGTTGATTCTGCCTCCCAGAGGTTCTCAGATTTATTCCTTTCTTCCCATCCCTACTGCCCTGCCCAGTCAAGATGATCATATTCTTCTTGGATTGCTACAAAAGTCTTCTAACTAGTCCCTTTTGACTCCAGTTTTGCTGCTTCTATTCCATTCTCCTAATTGCAGCAGATTATGTCACCCCTTGGCTTAATACCCTTCAAGGTTTGCCCTTGCCCTCAAGGGTAAAGTCCACACCATTTATTGGGACTTTCAAGGTTCTTGCTTACATCTTTAGCCTCACTTCTCAATATTCTGTGTGCCACCCCTGCACCCCTCCCCACCAGCCACATGCACAAGCTGGCCGGTTCCTGGTGATCCCTCTTCTTTCTCTAGGTGCCTTCCTTTGTTTTCCTGGAGCACATGTACACATTAATATATAAAATGGTGCTGTGGCTGCCTCTACTTGTCTGTCTCTTGCACTACATTGTGAGCACTGTTGTAACCCTAGGACAAGGACAAGGCTTGACATGTAGTAGTTGTTCAATAAATAATTGTTGAATAAGTGACAACTAAGTAATGGAATGTTCCTGTGGAATCTCTGCTCAGGAAGAACGACAGAGGACTGTTAGTAGGTAGATTCAGGAAGCATTCATTGCCAGTGTACAGGACAAATGGACTAGAGGAGCAATTCTTAGGCCTTGCTACA